ATGAAACAACCAAGTCAGGTAAGCCATGCATTAGCAAACAGAAATACCAGTATTTCTGTTCTAGAGACCACTTGAAAGCTTCTTCCAAAATAGGGTGACCAGATGTCCTTACAACAAAGGAGGACAAGGCACCACAAAATGGGGGGCATTCAAGAAAAATGTAGGACCCTACAAAAGGAAAGCTTAAAACACTCATACAAATGTAAATTCATGCTTCTTAGTCATGCTCAAAATGGAGGACATTTTGACATTCTTCCTGGACAGAAGGCTGAAATGTAGGACATGTCTGGGGGGGAAAAGAGGACTTCTGGTCACTCTGTTCCAAAATGCATCCACGGATTATTTTTCCGTTCACTGTTGTTATGTGTCTTCTAGTCATTTCCATCTGATGAACTGGGGGGGGGGGCTCGGCAAGATTTCTTCAAAGGGGGTTTGCTATGGACTTCTCCTGAGGCTGAGAGAGTGTGACATGCCCAAGATCAACCACAACCAGTGGGTTTCTATGGCCTAGGAGGGATTAAAACTCTCAGAGTCCCAGTCCAACACTCAAACCACAACACCACACTGGCTCCTTCTTTTCACTAGCTTCCCCCTATCTTATGATTTCCATCTTGGTTATCAGACTGATAACCAAATCTACAAATCTTCTGATCTACAGATTTATGCTTTTTTAACATGCTGAGAGGTGAGGCAGGCTAGTCTGATTTCCCTTTCCCATTCTGTTTTGCTGTTCACACATAGTCAGTAAGGGATTCTGAAGGCACCTGCTGTTTACCTTGCCTGTTGTAGGCAGAACCATATGCTTACAATAGAATTGGTTGGAGCAGAATTTCATTGTGTTCCAGCAAAAGCTTTGATTGCATTGTTTACTGCAGAAATCCTGCTGCAACCTGCTGATACCAAAAGTCTGAGTTTCTCCAGCCTTCCTTCACCATTCTCCTAATGCTGGTTGATACTGCTAAAAACGTCCAGCTAGAAAGAGTACATGGAGGAAAAGGAGGATGGGTAGGCATAGCATGATAAAAAGGTTTTATTTCTCAGAGGCTTTGTTAACTGAGGTATGGCTGTACTCTTGATAAGAATATGTCCTTGCAATATGTTTACAACAGAGTCCTAGAGCCAGTGTAGCAGAGTGGTTTGAGTGTTGGACTGCAACTCTGGGGACAAGGGTTCAATTCCCCGCTTGGCCATAAAATCCACTGGGTGACCTTGGGCAAGTCACACTCTCTCAACTTCAGGGAAAGGTAATGGCAAACCTTCCTTGAACAAATCTTGCCAAGAAAACCCCATAATAGGGTCACTTTAGAGTCACCATAAGTCAGAAACAACTTGAAGGCACACAACAGCAATCTATACATGTCTGCTCAGAAGTGCACCTCATTGGATTCAATGGGGCTAACATCCAAATAAATAAGTATACAATTATAACCTTAATTGTACCATATATTATAATGGATCTGCTTCACATTCTCTCCCTGACCCTAAAATTAACCATTTATTTTCTATATATGATCATGATTTTTCATTTAATATGTCTATTTTATTTAAAAGTTACAGCCCACTTTTTGTTCTAGCATTTAAGACAACTGATAACAAAACAAACAACATACATTATAAATATTAAAACCCATAAAGGAATTCAGCTGAACCTTTGAGACTAAGAGGGAAGAAGAAATTTATGTCAAGAGTTTCCATTAGTTCCGTTCATCAAAAGCAATCGATTTGTGGACAGAGTTCACAATGGCTTCTGCTACAAATTTCTTACTTGTGAGTCTCAAAAGTGCTACTGGACTCCTTTATGTCTTTTTATGCTAAATAAATAACAAATAAATAAAACTTTTATTTGTATCCCACTTTTCTACTATAATAGCAATCAGAGTGGCTTACATGTTAAAACAAACCAATACAATACATAATACGTAATATGTACATGATCATATATCTTACCCCCCCACACACTTAAAAAAGAATTAAACTTAGCACAGTTTAAAAAATATA